GTATGCACTTAATAATCCCCACTGATGGACTGAGGACTGGATGTCATGATATTGTGATGACTTTCAGCATCCACAAATGAAAACAATATTCAGTGAGCAAGGCCAGCCAGCCTTCTTGTCAGTAAGAAAGTCCCTTATTCTGGTGTGCGCCTTCTAACTTTAGTTGAAGGAAGCTGAAATGAATTGAGGTCAGTTGCAATGACGGCAAGTTGAGAGATGAGCTGGGGGAAAGATTATTCTTTTTTTTCCACCCAAAGTATCTCTTTAAAAATCCCTAAAAGGAGTAAAAAAGGGTGGCATATTTTACCCTCATTATTTTGTCCACTGATTAAATACATCTCCATGAGGCCAAACTTGGAATAGGTAACCTCGTTCCCCCATTGTCTTGTTTACCAAGTATTATCTCACCATAGTCCTTGACCTATATCAGTAGGCCATTTTTGTTTGTTTGTTTGGAAAATAATGTGACCTATTTTCCATGGTTAATTCTTAGGCAGGCAAAAAGTCATAGGTTGCTATCTTATGAACTTTAACATCCTTTTTCACAGTTGTTTAGGGTAAATTTTAGGTCCAATAATTACAACATGCTGCTTTGTCTGTGTGTATCCACCATAGGTTGACAGGGAAGTATCATGTCTCTGCCAGACCAGGGGCAATTGTGGGTCATTAGAACTCAGTGTGAGACACCTTGGGACAATGACTTTCTTGAAGCTAGGAGAAGATACTTTTTCCTCTTGTCTAAAGAGAGTGTGGAAGTGGAGACAATGGAGATTCACCAAGCAGAACAAAGAGACAGAGGTGACAGATTACAAAAAGACTCCAAAAAACATACACAGCAAGTTTTGAGCATGAGAAGTGAAGACGATGAATTGCACAAGGTCAGAAGAGGTGAGTTGGAGGTAAAAAGACTCCATGTTTCAGAATCTAAGCCATGCACTGCAATGGGTCCCTGGAGAGCCCTAGGCAACCCTGGCTCCAGCCCAAACAATGTGGAATGGTGAGGAAATTGAAGCAAGCAAATGCATTTAGGGTTTACTATTTTTGTATAGATGTGTATATTTCTAGTGCTATTAAAGATACAGCAATAGTATGTTAGAATCCCAAGCAAAGTGTGTTTGTATGTTACACCTACCATGTGCCCCCTGGAAGAGATAAATGAGAAGGTTCACACCTTCAGGTGGAGTTCTGGGAGAGGATGTGGTTAAGTTATAGGGGGCGGGAGTTGGAGAGATCAGTACTGAATATATGGGCTGAAACTCTCAGGAATGCATGATAGATAGAGGATCTACACCCCAAGAGTTTCCTGGGGACCCCAAGACAGGGGCATTGTCTGGGTTCTGTCCAGACTCTGGAGGCATAAAACACATGGGCTCTAGTGGCTGGTGAGTGACCCAGAAGATGTGGGGGGTGTTGATTGGACCTGTGACATTCCTTTAACTTGCTTACACATACAGTATGAGTCTATGGAGAAGATCATGAAGAATATGCTGACAGAAAACATGGCTTCATCCAGTTATCATTGTGATGGTCGTATTAGATATGACCCTGACTATTGTACATTAAACTCTCCTTTACTGTGACTTCTCTACTCAAAATCTATGCCTTAAAATATTCTGGCAGCTTCACACACAATCATAAAATTGGGAGGGACCTCGAGAGGTCAACTAGTCCAGTCCCCTGCATAGTACAGTAGAACCATCTTAATGTAACTAGGACATCCCAGCAGGAAGCTTATTGTCTCAAGCTGGTCCTATCTAAAAGTACTTTAAATTAAATAAAATAGGATACTGAAAAAATAAATACAAGAACAAAAATGATATTCACTTTGATCTGTTCTTTATTAAAACTTCTAGGGCTTAGGGTTAGGGTTATCCTCTGCTGTGATAGAGCTGTACTAATTGCAGAACTGAAGGAAGGATGAGCAAAAGTGGCTTTAAGCAATCTTTACACTACTGCAAATGCCCAATCACTGGTGTAAGTTAGATCAGCCTCTAAGCAGCACTAATACACGTCCACTACCTATGCCTCCAAGATGCTGTCTAGGTAGCGAGGGATCATAGGAGCACAAGAACACCCCTGTCACACAATATACACTGGGGAAGGGAGAGAAGGAGGAAGAGAGTACATTGGAAGAGAGTATATCAAAAGGGAGTTTACACAATGTGAATTTAGTTAAGTACTACTTAACCCAGTGATTACAGTATTCAGTCTCACCACATACTATGCCTTATCAGAGGTGTGGTAGTCTTTCCTTTCTCTCTCTCTTTTGGTTTTCTTTTCCTCCTTTTAGTGTATTATTTTTCTTTAAAAATATTTTCCCTCCATTTCTTCTTTTTTTTATATATATCCCCCTCCCTTGGTGACTCCCACATCTCTCTTTCACACCCTGGTAACTCAGCAGATCCATTCTTCTACCCATCAGAAGGCTACAGGCTGCTCAGGCATCCATTCATCCCATCCACTAAAAACAATGAGAAAAGAGAAGTCTGGATTGGCTGGCTGATGGCTGAATCATATACATGTGAACCACTTCTATGGCCAACTACATTAAGGGATCAGGGAGCTACCCTCCACTTCACTTACAGCAGTAGAAGTATGTTTGCTGTGTGGAGGAAGGTGTAAGGTTGATCTAGATCATGTAGCTTTCCTTACTATCACTGTTTCTCTTCTATTCCCTGTATCACCCCAAAAATAGTCCAGGCACCCTCTGTTCCTAGCTGGGAAACAGAAACTTTTCTGTTCTGGTCAAATGCATCCTCAATATATGGAATTTATGCCAATTCCGTTATGATAAAACAGCAGCCATTGCTGTTCATCACTAGGCTAAATTAGTTCCTTGGGAGAAGTCCCTGTAAAACAGCCTTATCCCAATCAAGCATGTGTCAATTAAGTGGAATGTTCTGTACTTTTAAAGGCAAAAGATTAGCATTTAAATAAGGAGACTGCTCTATAAAATACTTTTAAAATTGTTTTACTTTTGTGTAATACTTAGAAGCATTTTTAACAAAGCAACAAGCTTTCTAAGGAACAATCTGTCACATAAATACTAGTCAATAAAAAAAATCACAAATGGTTAGAGGGGAATAGCAATGTGTTTTGAAAATCCTTTTTTGTATGAACCATGTGCTTGTGAAAGGTATCAGATTGACAACACTTCAGGCAAATGTTCTCTTTTTCCAAAGAACAGATTTAGAACAGACAACAACAGTGACAGCACTGCAGGCTGGTTCATTATGAAGAGAACCATGTAATACTTTTCATTGATCATGTGATTCTTCAGCACATCACATGGCTATCATCACCCTCAGTATTAGATACCTAAAATAATGTATTTATGCAATTTTGAGGTTGAATCGTTTGTACTCGATGCGCACTTAGAACTGTGTCTGAGCCCACTATTACTAACATAACAAGCACAGGACTGTAGCTCTTGCAAAGCAGCCACGGTATTTTCTCTGGGCCTAATTTTGTCTCTAATAAAATCAATGAAAAATTTTCTCTTAACTGTAATAGGACTAGAATATTCCCCTCTTTGTATTAGGTGGTCAGGGTTTCTCATTTCTTACATTGTTTACAACATACTCTAGTTATTCTAAAAGCCAGGCTGATTTTCCTGTCCTAGCGAAGCAGAAAAAAATATCTTTGTGAATGAGAATAAAAGATTGGACAGATCCCCCATTTAAAAAGGGAACAACAAAATTAAATGTTCATTGATATTGCAAATCTTGTCTTTCCCAAGGTTAGGTAAAGTATATTGGCCATTTGGGTACAGTCTGAGATTTCATTTTTTGTTGCAGTACTCTGAAAGGGTACATTAATAAGAAGAAAGCCAGACAAACAGACTATTTGAGGGTCAGACAGACAGAGTTGAGGGTCTTGGACTGGCCATATTAGGTGTTCTCTGACACAGTTTTATCTACAATTACATGGATGGCAGAGTTATTTCCCATTAATTTAGGAAATGAAGAAAGGAAAAGAGAGAAGAAACACGTTTCATTTAACTGTTCTATACCAGGCAGGTGTTATATTTATTTGTGTTATATTTCAACAACAAGCTGAGAATGCGAGACTGTAATTTGCGTTTTGGATGTGTGGAAACGTGGGAAAGAAAGAGCTGTACCAACTCACCAGCCTATTTCCATGAGGCAGCACTCTGTAACCAAGTAACAGTGTCAAGAAACTAAACCCACTATCAAGGAGAAAAATTATAAAAGAGGACTGCACTTAGGGCATCCCACTACCTTGATTTCTCTACATTTGAGTGTGAGGGATACACTATTATCAATTATGCTGCTGTTGTTGCTCTGTCCAGTGTCAGAAGGTTGACTACATACATGACTGATACTGGGTTCCAGGGAGATCAGCATTTGCTCGATAACCTGCAGGTATTTTACAACTCCTGTCCAACTTGGCATTTCATTGTCTGCCCATCTCTACTTATTAGGCTCAAGCTGTGCAATTAATTCACCCCAAAAATAGACACCAGAGATAAATCCAAAGATTAAACCAGACATGAAAAACTGCTTGTTGCTTGTCTTTTTTTTAAAGTTTACTTGTCTTGGTTTCCCCTTTCTCCTGGTTAATAATGTCTTTTCAAGATATCTGGGAGATTTTTGTTGGTTTGCAAAGGATGATGGACAGGGGCAGAGAAAGAGCTGTGAGACCTAAAGTCTAAGGAAAAGGGAAAGACAAAGGGAAAGTAAAACAAGAGCTGGCAAGATCCTGATTCAGCTCTCAAGTACACTGGTGTAAACCAGGACTAATTCCATGGAAATCATTGGACTTACAACAACATAAGACTGGTGTTAATGAGCTCATAGGACCTGATCCAGCTCTACTGATATAATGGCAGCTTTGGCAGTGACTTCAGTGGGCACAAGGTTGAACTCATAAGCTTGGACAGTCAGCTACATTTATTGGTGCATTACACTTCATTGAAGATGGCTCTGTTATTAAGCCCTGCACCCCAGAATTTTTTCCCTTAGCATAAGTGTCCTTCTTCACAGAGGCAGATCTAGCATATCTGACACTAACACATCCCCTACAGGAATCTCAGTGCAGGGGTACCTATTGAGATAAATAAGAGACAAATAAAAGTCAGAGATAAAAGTATATAAAATAATGAATGGTCTAGAGAACTTAGTTCTGGAGCTTCTGTTCTGTCTCATAACACGAGGACAAGTCAATGAAACTGATAGGTGGCAAATTCAAAACTGATAAAAGGAAATACTTTTTCATGAAGCGTGCAATTAGACTGTGGAACTCACTGACATAGGAAGTTGTTTAGGCTAAGAACTTAGCAAGAGTCAAAAAGTGATTGGACATTTACATGGATAACATAATAATAACCAGGGTTTTCATAGTTAATGCTAACAAACATTGTGGAATGGATGTTAAAGCTCATGATTCAGGAGTTAAGCCCATTTCTGGCTATTAGAGATCAGTATAAGACCTATTATGGGGGAAGATTACTTCACATCTGTCTACTGTGGAGTTCTAACACCTTCCTTTGAAAAATATGGTGTTGGCCACTGTCAGGTAGGATGCTGAACTAAACAGACCAGTATGACAGTTCCTATGCATGATTCCTGGCTCTTGGCACAGCCCATAGCAATCACGGCAGACAATGAGCAAGGTAGACATGTGCTGTGGCTACTCTAACCGGTGCTGGTACCTGAATCAGCCTCCAACAACTGATAGGGGAAGCACAAGAAACTCTCAGGTTCAGCATTAGCACAGGATGAATTCCTCCCAGTGTATCTGTAGTGAGTTTTTAAAATTAAGTATTATTTATAATAATACTCTGAACAGATTAACTGTGTTTGCTCAGTGTTAATTATTTCAAATACTAACTGAAATATGAACTGTACACACATTCATAAATGGATTAAAAGGTTATTTAGTTCCACTGTGGTTTCTGTAAGCACCTGTTGTCTCTGCAGAAATGATGTTATGTAAGTTACTACAGAAATACTCCTTAAGAAATTACAACATATATCCACGTACCTTCTAGAGCTACAGCAAAGTAGGGGAAAGTAGTCACCTCTTTCACTAGCAGTAGAAGCCTATTATTGTTACAGACGGGTATGCAGATCACAGAACTAGCATTTTAAACAGGGATGCCAGTTGGTTCTACAATTAAATTCTAGATGTACAATAGAATGAAAACGTATGGAGGTGTGAAGCAAAAAATATAATCCAACTCCTTCAATTTCCCAGCTAGTTTTGAGCAAAAGACAGGATATACCAACAGTAGCTTTGGGGTTTTTTGCTTCTCAGAATGTAACTAAAATATATTTACCATTTATAATCATGCTGGCATCACACAAATAGACTGTTTCATATCCAAACCATTCTGTTGTCGTGCAATTTTAACTCGGTAAAGCTTTACTCTTTGAAAGTGAGATTAATTCAAAATTAAATTATACATACTGTATAAGAATTTACATGGAATATGTCAAGAATATTGGAAAATGAGCAGGATATTTAGGCTTTAGTATCAACCAAATCAGTTTTCTTTATGGGAAAGATTTTTCGGCATAACTTTCAGAAATGCAGACCTCAAAACTATTTCTATAAAGTAGGATACGTTGTAAGTATAAAACTATTTTATCATAACATTGCAATAAAATTGTAATCATAATAATACATCAGGGTACCAACAAGTATAAATAATCTATTAGGTCCTGTTACAGCATTTTGGTCCAAGCAGCGAGACTTCTGCACCTGGGTGGAGTCCCATTGGGCTGTTTCAGTGGGGCTCTATGCAGGGGTGAGAGCTCTCCATTATAAATCAGATTGTGGGATCAGGGCCATGGTTTATTTAATTAAAACTACAGTTAATTGATCATAATTATGTAAGTACAAGGTACTCTCCCTTACTGATTAGAGTGTAATTAAAGAGCTACTTTGCAACTCTAGTAACAATGTATAGTTCCCCCCAAATTTATGTTCTTCTCCTAATCAGGATTAGAATGTCAGGAACATACATACCAAAGAAATCCAACACCTAAAATGAAATGGCTCCCTCTCAAGGCAGACTCTAAAACATTCCTGTCCTTGGAGGGATCTTTCACTTCGAGGAATAATTAAATAAATACCTATCCATAGGCCATGCTAAATCCATCCTATACATTTCCCCCTCTGCAAAGGATATAATTGAATGATGTGTATGTATAGCTGAAAGGGATATCTCAAACATGTGTACATGTTACAGTTCCCTAGTGGCCCAGGCACTGGAGATATTCTTTTTGCTCACTAGTTTTTGGGAACAAAAGGTCAAGAGTTCTATTATTCCCTTTGGTGTGTATATGCAGTTGTATGATAATGCAGTCAATATGCATTTGACAATGGATTACTTCAATAGACATGCTGACTTCCAACAGATATAATAACTCATCCAAACTGAACTGGCACCCTTGGAAATGCAGCACTTTATTTTAATTAATAAGAGTTCACATTGCCTCCAGAAGTCCTGATCTGGCACACCATCGTGTCAATAGAAGGCATGCAAAACTTAAAGTTAAAGAAAGGAAACCCCTGGGGAACATTGTTATGACCCTTTTGTCCCCAACCATATACCAATGACCACAATTCCTGCTTCCATTAAAGTTGTAAAAGTCCCTCTCTGCTTCAGCCAGAACTGCTACATATGCTGAAGATCTTCACAAAGTGCCCAAAAGGAATAATAAAGGGCAAGGCCCTTATTTTCCTCTCTCTTACAATGATTGTATGCCTATGTGACTCCACTGTCTATAATAGAAGTACTCCTGATTTACACCCGTGCAACAGGGGAATTAGACTCAATATCTTTAAAATTAATCTTTATAAAACCTGAAAGAAACACTTAACAAAACCACTACCTAAGTAAAAAGAAAAGGAGTACTTGTGGCACCTTAGAGACTAACCAATTTATTTGAGCATGAGCTTTCGTGAGTTACAGCTCACTTCATCAGATGCATACCGTGGAAACGGTATGCATCTGATGAAGTGAGCTGTAGCTCACGAAAGCTCATGCTCAAATAAATTGGTTAGTCTCTAAGGTGCCATAAGTACTCCTTTTCTTTTTGCGAATACAGACTAACACGGCTGTTACTCTGAAAACTACCTAAGTAGAGCTTTTAACCTAAAAAAAGGAGAAGTGCCAGAGACTTCCTACTGCTATAATTTTACATGGAAGGTGCTCAGATATTACAGTGATGGACAACAGCTTAAAACCCTGAGATACACAGCTCTCTCTGAAAAGGGTCTGCTATTGAATTATGCCTTCATGGAAACAGGAGACTACAGTCGTATTGAATTGAATACACAGTTGACATTTTATCTGTGATATGCACAGCTAGTTCTTTTGTACTCCTAACCCTTGAAGAGAAATAGATGAGGGGGAGGGGCTCTGACTGGGTGTTAGAGTACACTAGGCAGCTGGAAGATGTCCTGGTAATGTTCCACCAGAGAGGAGTTTGAATCATATTTGGAGCTGGGAAAAAGTTTTTCAGCTAATAGTAAATTTGCAGAAAAATGGATTTTTCAGGGTATCAAAACTTTGTGAATTCAGTGAATAGTTTCAGCCAACACACAGTGTGTTTTTTTTTCAAATGTTCCAAATTGACATTGTTTTGAAATGTCATTTCAAACCAACAACTGAAACTTTTTGTTCAACCCAAATTATTTTGGTTTGTTCTTTGTTTTGTCAGGAAAAAACAAAACAAAAAAATCAGTTTTGGTTCAAGTTCAACCAACTTTTTCTTTAGCTATTCTGGTTCTGCCATCCCTGTTAGCTGTTTGGAAAAAGCTCGGGTCTGGCCAATAGCAGTTTGGAAGAGGGGACAGATAGAAGGGCATCACAAGGTGCTTGGAGCTAGCCTGAGTGCTTTACAAGCTTTCTGATCCCACTGCAGTCCCAATATGACACATCATGTCAAAGATTAACAAGAATTTCATTTTTTTAAATTAGGAAAAACACATTTGATAAGATATTTTAAATTGAATGTCCATACATGAAATACACCATCTGGTATGATATTTCACATTTTGTGGAATTCTAGAGAATAATCAAGGTGCAAACTTAATGCATGAAGAACATAGTGATAAGTAATCTTTGAAAATTAATATACTAGGTTTAAAATGGATCATAGTATGATTGTTAATTAGAGTTACACGTCTAACTCTCTATTCATCACATTGACAATTTGTTGCTATCTGTTCTTAAAACTAGTTTATATCAAATAAGGCTCTTTACATATCCCTTATCAAAAGTGATACCTCCTCTATGACTGACATTCAAATTGCAACAATCTATTTAAAAAGTTGTGTAACTCCAGTAGTTATACTCAGTAGTTCTTGTTCTAGTCTTTTAGTTTCAAAGGTAGATTGGGAAAGCAAAATGACAAATTGCATTATTTTACCTACTGAGAACATGTACTCCTGAGAAATCCATTAATTTTTGAAAGAGAAATATTGCAGTTCTCATAAAGAATGCTTGGATTGCCACCTAGAAACAGAAATCCTTGTGCACATGGCAGGATTGTACTGTACTGTAATTTCCACGCACTGTTCCTGTAATCTGCCTCCACCTTGTTTTGGAGGACTATGTTAAATCAAGCTTTTGCCTCTCTGCTGAAGCAGTCAGTTAGTGTTGGGCTGATGGTTTTAGTGATGTGTGTACTTGTTCCACAGAAACTGGTTTGATCATCAACATCATTTGCCTTCTAACGACTGAGAAGTCAGCAAATGATAAGTATGTTCTTTTTTTGTTTTGACTCTGAACTGGATTTAAACCAGTAACCTAGATGCAAAACGCCTTGTAGCCCATTACTATTTTCCAAAGCCATCCAGTCCCTTGAGACTTGTTAGCATTGTTGTAGGACAAATGGCCAAGAGGCATATAATATCATTGTTTACTGTTCTACAGATCCACGTGTGACAGTCTGTACCTGTGAATTCATCCCTTACACACTATTGTAATAATGTCTGTGCAAAGAATGTCTTTAAGGTATCATTTGAAAACTCATAATTTGCTGATCGCCATTGTCCTGGTAAAATATGTGTGGCAACTTTGTATGCAAAGTTATACGATTCCACTGTATGGTGTTACTAAGACATGTTCCAAGTCTGGGGAGCAACCAAACCAGCTCCTCAGAGACAAAGGGCAAGCTGACACCTCAGCCAGGTGTAAGCAAGGTCAAATGGGCCATCACCTGCTAAGTGGCTATTCTTTGGAAGGAAAAGGGACATGGGTGAAAATCTCCATCAGAGCAAAGAAACAGAATAGAGTTCCTGTCCAGGGAGACTGCCTGGTCCCCTGTTCCCCTGGAGAAGCTTCTCAAAGGAGAGAGAGGACTAGAAAAAGAAAGGACAGAAAACCCAAATTCTCTCTCTGTGTGTCTCTATCCAGAGCATTCACAACACCTGAGGAACAAAGAAATCAGTGTTGGACTGGGGGAGGGATCCTGACTGATAGAAGTTCAACAAGTAGAACTTCTGAAATGTGGTTAGAGAGACTTTGCTTTGAATTTAGCCTATTTGTTAAGTTAGGCATTAGTTGCATTTTATCTTTATTTTTCTTGTAACCAAGTCTGACCTTTATGCCTCATTACTTGTGTTCACTCAGCATCTATCTCTTTGTAGTTAATAAACTTTTTGTATTGTTTTATCTAAATAAATGTGTTTGAATTGAAGTGTTTGGGAAAATCCATCTGGGATAACAGGATCTGTGTATTTCTGTTAATGAAATAACAGACTTTATATGAACTTGTATTGTCCAGGAGAAGGCTGAACAGTATCAGACGCACATTTCTGGGGAAAAATCTGGGACTGGGAATGTACTGGTGTCACCCTGACACGTAATTCCAGAGTAGCTGACTGCAGCACTCTCACAATATAGCTGGGAGTGATTTACATGCTGAAGAATGTGTGTGAGCAGAACCAGAGTGGAAACTACAGCAGCAAAAGCAGTGTAAAAGGCACCTGAGGTAAGAGGTCTGAGATGCAACAGCTGTTCATCAGTCTACATAGTACCCTGTGTATGTCACACTAAAACTGTGCAATATTTTACCTACCAACTACATACAATCACACATTTACCCCCTTTAAAATTATTAAATAATTGAAGATGGCACAATGAATTGATATTAAAGTTAGTCGGAAAAAAATTGAAATTCCAATTTTTTTGAAAAAAAGCATTTTTGTGATTTTTTTGTGTGTGAAAAAAATTATCTTCCATTCTTCCCCCTTTCTCATGCTCCCCCCAAAGCCAGCTGTATTTGGTAGGGTATACTTATCTAATTTTGTATGAGTTGGGGGGGCAGGTCAATTATTATTTAAGTTACATATTTTATTAGAGGCTTCTAGGACAGCAGTGCTAGAGAGCAAGCATATTTTTATTTCAGATGTTTTAATAGTTTCTATCATCAGCTTTAGAATATAAATTATAAAGCATATTAATTATATATGCTCACTGTAACTGGAGGTAGCATAAAAACCACAACTTCAAAAAATATTAATAGAGATTATATAGAGATTATTTTACACCTTTTCCTGACAGAAAAATAATTCAGTGCTCACAAGCACAACTGCACAGTGCCTGTGCATAGAGTTATTTTCTCCCTAATTTCACTGAGCCTGGTTTTAAAATATGTGTAGTGTGTTTACAGCTTACCAAGGAAACTAGAACACATTGGACAGTTTTGTCTGAACATCTTCAAGTAAAGGCCACCAATAATTCAGTATTTCAATTATCCATTTAGTTATTTTTATTTATATTTTCATACGAAAAGCTACTGCATTTGTCACTTCATGGGCCTAAAGTTATATACCATTTTATAAGCAAAGATGAACCATTTAGCTGGGAATGTATTTTAGTTCTTTTAGCCTCCTGTCAAGTAAAGATATGTATAGTTATGAGACCAGCCTGTGAAATATTTCAATCTGAACAGTATATTTTTGAAGTTATTACAAGTTTGTGCCCATGACATTTTAAGATTTGAGGGAGGACAGGAATGCAATAGCAAATCACATTTTAATTTTAACAGGAGGGAATAATATTTCAGCTTTGCCTTTAGCCTGCACAAACGTCTATGAATACACTTAAAGTGTCATGTTAGTACCTGTATTCATTGATTCCATCTTCACAAGTGGCTCCATGCTGGCACCAGTTCTCTTCACAGTCATTAATGTTCTCCAGGCACGTTCGCCCAGTCCATCCAGGAGCACAGACACATTGAGAACTCTTGTTGTCTTCATCAAGGAAGCAGCTACCTCCATTTTCACATGACTAAAAGTGAGAATTACACACAAACAAGAAGAGGGTTTCATCTCTACGGGTTGTCCTTACCTAAGAAATTTGATTAAATAAACTGTTTTGGAAATAACTGGGAGTGTGACAGTTTTCTCTCACAACGTGGTCAAAGACAAATCTCAGTGAATTAAAATATAAAGTGCAATGAAGATAAACCAACATTTGAATCTATTGTTGTGTACAATGTTATGATACAGTGTAACTATACTGTTTGTTATAATTGGTTATAAACACACGTATTTTAGGTAAGATGACAAATAATAAAATAGCCTATTCTGTTAAATGTAGAAAATAAAAGCATTGCAGCCTGTAGCATAGCTATAATTTAACTTAGAATAAAGCTCTAGTCAGCAGATGTGAACATTTTTGCTGGTTCAGTAATGATTAGCTAGAACAGTGGTTTTCAACCTTTTTTTCATTTGCAGACCCCTAAAAAATATTGAACAAAAAGTTGGAAATCTTAGACGTAGTCTGTGTACCCAGGGGTCTTCAGACCATAGCTTGGAAACCACTGAGCTAGAAGAAGCAAAAGGCTGTATGAGGAACAAAGGGCACACTTAAGAATATGAGTATTTGTTATGTTCTAAAATATGGGTATTAAAAAAAACCCTATGTGACTGAATGAGACAAGGACATCACATTTCATCTGTTTTTGGACTTAGAATTCTAATTGTTTTTGGGGGGGGGGGGGGGGGTTAAAATATATGTATCTTTGAAAGAACAAAACAAAACAAAGTAGTAATATAATTTTCAGATAGCCATGACATTTCTTGCTATGGTAAACCCTCTTTAAAATGAAGTTGCTGGTTTCGTTGAGAAAATAAGCCACCAGTCACTATAGACATAATATCGAACAGTTTGTCAGGAAGACTAATTCTCTAGCCAGCCACTGAATGTTGAAAGATCTATAGGCAATTTGAGGGATTCCTACTTTAGCTGGTCATTACAATGTGAAGACTGACAAATGTAACATATTAACATAATTTGGGGGCATAGAAGGAGAAGCACTGAAACAGATGCGTAAGACTTTTTGAACCAAAATCTGCTCTTACTTAAACCAGGGCAACTCCACTGAACCTTAAGAGCAGAAGTAGTTTCTTACATGCACCTTTCTACATTTCTCTTGTGCTTAGTTGTTGGATACTCTGCTTTGAGTGGCAAGTAAAACTTAGCAGATACAAATATATCACCTACAGTATTATTTAATGAAAATGCAGGTTTGTGATGCTTAAAGGAAAATGTTTGTATGACTTGTGTATTCTGGATTTTCCAAGGGTTGTCAGGAAGAGGAATTAATATAATTCTATGACTATGCCAAAGAGGATGGCTCTAGACTGTTCTCAATGGTAGCAGATGACAGAACGAGGAGTAATGGTCTCAAGTTGCAGTGGGGGAGGTTTAGATTGGATATTAGGAAAAACTTTTTCACTAAGAGGGTGGTGAAACACTGGAATGTGTTACCTAGGGAGGTGGTAGAATCTCCTTCCTTAGAGGTTTTTAAGGTCAGGCTTGACAAAGCCCTGGCTGGGATGATTTAACTGGGAATTGGTCCTGCTTCGAGCAGGGGGTTGGACTAGATGACCTTCAGGGGTCCCTTCCAACCCTGTATTCTATGATTCTATGATTCTATGACTAACCTTTAAAATTCTGCTCGTGTCTTCAATCTATCCTGTATATAGTTCTGAACCTGTTCTGATGCTTAGTAAATATTTTACAGGGTTGGCAAGGACTAGCACATTTTGCAATCTGCTGATTGTGAAAGATGAATAAATCTTGTTGGGGAAAAAATACTCTTTTTTTTCTTTAAACAAAAAGGTTCATTCATTTTCCAATGTATCAAAGATCACCTGAGCTCTAGGAAGGAAATGTATCCTCTTTTCTTGTCAGTGTTTAAGTTTTAAGGTCTCTTTTCAGCTTCCATGAAAACTTAGCCTTCATAAAAATAGGAACAAATATTTTTAAAAAATATGAAACTAAGGCTTTTCTCGCTAGTCTATTGACTTCTAAAGAAAATGGTGAGTTGGGCTCTGCCAATGATCTATGTATCTCAGTTTGATTGAGTCTGAATCCATTTAAAATGTTATCAAGGTTTGTAGCAATAAAAATTCTTGCCAGAAATTCGCTATATTAATTTGTCTTTGATTAAGTTTTAAACTGACCTTAAAATTGGATCTTTTTGCTATGCTATTAGTGTTAAATACTGGAATTATGCTGGGCTCATTTCTCAATGTGACTACTCTTGATGGAGGGAACTACTCAGCTTGAATAAAGTCGGTAGAATCAAGCCCTCTTTACAGTTATGGAAATATCTTTTCCCTTTTATATATAAATGTATATATCTTGCCCTTTTATTTTGTCTGGGTATTTCCTGAGGTTTTGCTAAATTTTCAAGTCTCTAAATGCTCTCTCCCACTCCCTTTGTTATTGGATCTCATATAAAATGTTTGCCTTGATTTCAAAGTTCATTATTGAATCATGCATCAGGAAATTATAAATAAAATGTTAAGAAAAGCAGAGTACGTTTGAATTTAGGAATAAAACAAAATATGAGGTCTTTATATCCCCAATATACCTTTATGAGGCTAGTCTACCCACTGGTGTTTCTCTATATTTGATCAGAGATAACAGCAGCATTATGAGTATAGTATATATGTGTGCAAGCGTGCTTCCTCACCAATTATAGAGTCCAAAACCTTAAGGCCAAAAGGTACTATTATGATCAGCTAGTCTGATCTCCTGCATATACCAGGCCAGACACTTTCACTCAGTGATTCCTGCATCAAGCCTGTAAACTCTGTTTGAGATAAAGCAGACCTTTCAGAAATATCTAATTTTTATTTAAAGACTCCAAATGATGGCGAGTCCATGATGTCCCTAGGTGAGTTGTTCAGTGGTTATCTTGGAATCCAGTGACAATGAAAAGGAGTTAGGATCATTGCAAATTCCAACTGAACCTGAGCTCCCAGTGTGGTATTGTAGCTAAGGGGGCACAATTAAAAATGTGCACCTTATTTCTAGTCCGAATTTGTGTAACTTCATCTAGCTATTAGGTTGTGTACTGCCTTTTTCTGTTCAAATTAAGAGCTGACTAGTATCAGGAATCTATTCCCCATTTAGGTACTTGCAGACCATGAGCAAGCCATCTCTTAACGCTTCTCTTGGATAAACTAAATTGATTGAGCTCTTTTAGTCTCTTACTATAAAGCAGGTTTCCCACTTTTCAAATAATTCTTGTAGCTCTTTCCTGAACCCTTTCCACTCTGGCAAAATCCTTGCTGAAGCATGGACTGGCCATAGAACTGGATACAGTATCCATGAATGGCTTTATCTAAAGGTAATAATACCACTTCCCTACTCCTGCTCTATACTCCCCTGCTCTTACAACCAAGGATCACATTTGTCCTCTTAGCTACAGCATTACCCTTGGAACTTATGTTCAGCTGGTACTTTCAATAACCCCTAAGTCCTATTTATTCTCACTGCATTCCAGGGCAATTACCCTCCAGTACATGTGACCTAAATTCTTTATTTCTAGATATATGACCTTGCATTTTACTGTATTAAATGTATATTGTTCAAATGAGCCTACCTTGACAACTGACAACCTCCCTTTAATGTTCATTTAACAATCACATGATCCATAAGCCCCTAGCCTACAAACACTTACTCACATGAGTAACTTTCTGTATGTGAGAGGCTCCACTAAGCTAGTATGGGTACGCTGACCCACTTGTACTGTAATCTATTCTAGCAACCTGCTTCAATGTTCTAGATTAGATACGGCTTCAACAAGAATTCCGATGGCACCTTGAAGACTAACAGATTTTTTTTTTGAAAATTACAGATACAGGCATAAATATATATTGGCACATGAAGAGAAGGGAGTTACCTTACAAGTGGAGAACTAATGTTGAAGGCCAATTCAGTCAGGGTGGATGTGATCCACCTCCCAATAATTGATGAGGAGCTGTCAATATCAAGAGAGGGAAAATTGCGTTTGTAGTGAGTCAGCCAATCCCAGTCCCTATTCAAACCCAAATTGATGGTGTTAAATTTGCAAATGAATTGTAGCTCTGCAGTTTCTCTCTGAAGTCTGTTTTTAAAGGTTTTTTTTGTTGAAGAATGGCTATTTTAAAATCTGTTATTGAGTGTCCAGGAAGATTGAAGTGTTCTCCTACTGGCTTTTGTATGTTCCTCATTCTTCATTCTTTGGCAGTGAGTTCCAGAGTCTAGGCCCATCTGGGCGATTGGGGGAATGGGATATGTTTTCCGCAGTTGCGTACCTCTCCATATCAGCTGACACTTTCATTGTTCCATTGGAATATACGTCTATGGTCTCCCTAGAGGGGAGTCAAGGCCCTGTCAGCTCTTGCACCCTCAGAGGCAGTTTCAGAAGGGAGTCCAAGTCAATGCCAGTTACAGTGGTGTTTTTTGTGATGTGGCTGCCTGGTGACACTGGGAACTAGACTGGGCTTATTTCCCAAGGGTTATCATATGGCAATGTCTTTTGGTGACTACCAACCTGGGCTGGATTCCAACCAGTTACCTAGAAGTGAAAGGCTCCAGATTCCATGACCAGTTCCCTGAGTCACCTGTTCCTCTGGGTGTGGCTTTACTTTCCATAGGAACGAAAAAAAGAGGATTGAAGGGTGGGGGAGGGGTTGTTAGGAAAGTTGTTCTTCAGTTAGATTTAAATCAGGACTGAGGTCACAACTGAAACTGAGTAAAGGGGTATGAATTGCAGAGTGCACATAAATGTTGCATTCTAATTGCTGGTATGAAATAAAAAGTGCATAGTTCGCATAAACATAGTCCTCTTTCAAACAGGACTACACGTTAACATAGTCCTGTTTGAAAAAGGACTATGTTAATGGAAGCAAGCTACCTTTTAGTTCACACCATCAGCACCCACACAGAATAGTACAGTGAAACATTTTGGTGCACTATGCAATCCATACTCCTGTAGCCTGCACTGCAGGGCAGTGCAGACAAGTCCTTATATCAGCAGTGGGCAACCTGCGGCCCACACGCAGCCCATCAGGGTAATCTGCTGGCAGGCCGCAAGACAGTGACAGTGTTTGCATTGACCGTCCCCAGGCACGGCTAGGCATGGCTACCCACAGCTCCCAGTGGCCGTGGTTTGCCGTTCCCGGCCAATGGGAGCTGCGGGAAGTAGCAGCCCACTGGCCACAGGTTGCCCACCACTGCCTTAGATTATTATACTCCAGTTTGAATAGAAACAGAAATAATTTTAGAAGGAATTTAAGCTAAATACAATTGTTAAGATACTATTCAAATCACAAAAAGACCTCTATACAAATGGTTTTCTAACCCTTTCATTTTGCAAATTAAAACTAAATTCTGATATTCTTACACTCAGTAGTACCCATTAGACTACTTGTGGAGTAAAATACTATTAAGTATAAGTAAGAGTATCAAAATCTGCCCTTGATAAGCGTGAGATCATTTGATGAGCCACCTTTCCTCATTCCCCCAATACCAGAATCTTCCCAAGGCTTGTATATCAAAAATAAGTTTTTTTTTAAATGCCTTGTTATGTGATAATGATAAAGAAATACAGGCAGTTACTTTTCTCTAAAACTGAACAAGAACATTTCTTACCATAAAGAAACAGTGTGATTCCCTACGCAACTCTCTCTCTCTGTCTCTGCTTCACTGTTCAGTTTCTGCCAGGAAATTTCCCAGTCCACTTTGCCTGGCTTCCTGTTACAATTTTAATAAACAATATTGTCCCTTTTTATAGTAAACCCTAATCATATTATTGCAGATTATCTCATGCATTATCACTGCAAAGCCAATCTCATAGTTGTAGGCAGGGCAAACAAAAAATGCCATAAAGTGAAAATGATCAGTTAATTTGCCCTAGTTGGCAAGTGACAATATTCTCTTCAGGACTCATGGGAGACATAATGGGTAGAAAGCAGGATTCTGTTTGTTTTTTTCTTCAAGAAATGAAACAAATGTTTACCTTTTTGCTGTCTTTTACCTCTGATCCCAGACAATGAAATAAATATCCATCCTCAAATTGAGAAATGGTCTTGGATTATAAACTCAATATGTCATGACAATGTATAGAAATATACAGAAAAGACCTTTTTTCCAGAAAGTTATAGTGGTTGCTGGCGATGTCTAAAACTTATGCCTACAATGAAAACTGACTGAGCTACTACCTTTATTCAGAGATTTTCATCCTAAATTTGCAGAACTGCAGAAGTAAAATTCATTTGCAAATTTAACACCCTTAATTTGGGTTTGAATAGGGACTGGGAGTGGCTGGCTCATTACAAAAGCAGCTTTGCCTCTCTTGGAATTGACACCTCCTCATCAATTACTGGGAGTGGACTACATTCACCATGATTGAATTGGCCCTGTCAACACTGTTTCTCCACTTGAGAGGTAACTTCTCTTCATGTGTCAGTATATAATGCCTGCATCTGTAATTTTCACTTCATGCATCTGAAGAAGTGGGTTTTTTTACCAATGAAAGCTCATGCCCAAATAAAACTGTTAGTCTTTAAGGTGCCACTGGAATCCTTGTTGTTTTTGTGGATACAGACTAACACAGCTACCCCCTGATACTTCATCCTAAAGTGTGTCTCAAACTACAATCCTGAAGTTTTAAAATTCCACCTGTTATTCAGAGGATATCTGTCCCCGCAAAGGTGGATTACGTAATCCCCATAAATGATAGTCAGGGCAGGTAGAATGTTAAGGCTCCATGTCTGTACGAGTATTGTATAATAGCACTAAAATACCAACCTTCTCTGGGGTAGAATGGCCCAAGCTAAAATCCCACACAATTTGAAAGTATAAATTGTTAATCTTTTATAACCACAACAGTCCTTGTAGCAGCCCAATGTACTACAGAAGGTGAATACCATGTTTGAACATATTTAGACTTTAGGGTTTATAATTAGTTCATACTTTAAACAATAAACTTTAGTTCTACTTTGAAAAGTGGCTCCTAAATTGAAAAAAAAAAAATCTACACCCATTGACCGTGTCTCATTGAAACCAGATCAAATTTGTTTTGCTTACATTGCAAGTATAGCTTTTTTCTAAATGTCAGACCTGCAAAGCCAACCAGGAATCTAAAAGCCAAGCCATGTTATTTCTGGCTCATACATCACCAGTAATAAACATTCTGCCCACAGAAGAATTATTTGTATGGGGGACAAGTCTGAGATAAATCAGAAAAGCCATTTTTTGAAAAATGGGTGGGTTTTAGTTTTTGAAAACCATTCTTTTTCCCCACTTATAACTCAAAAATGAGAGGTTTCAGAGTAGCAGCCATGTTAGTCTGTATCCGCAAAAAGAAAAGGAGGATGTGTGGCACCTTAAAATTTATTTGAGCATAAGCTAGTTGGTTTACCGCTATCCCTAGGGCCCCTGGGCTGAGACCCGGAGTAGAGGGCGGGCCCAGGTCCCTCCCTTTCCACTCCCCTCCTCTAGGACACTAGTGGGGCAGTTAATACCCCAGTTCAGGGGCAAGAAATGGTGCCCTGAAACCCCCCCACTCCCCCAGAAGAGAAAGTGCAAGACCAATCATAGTAGTGCCGGCAATTTGCCACTATATATATATATATATATATATATATATATATATATATAATTTCATTCATACCTACAAAAAGAAATAATGGCTTTAAATGTTTAAGAAATTATTTAATTTAATTCCTTAATGGAAATTGTAGTATCACTTACGATATTACTAACACTACACCAAAGACCGTTCAGAGTTTTTTAAGTCATTTTCATGAAGCAAATGATATTAATTTACCGATCTCTGCACTAAGGAGTTGAGCAAAAAGAAAATGTATCTCATACTTTCTTTTTATTTCTGTTTTCTTTCACCTTAGAGAAAACAGTAGTTTATTACATTATGACCAAATTAAATGCCTCATACAATATATATATACAGTCCACATAAATTTATGACTGTCTCTGTAATGTTTGTATGAATAAATTAGATATGTCTTAAGGCTTTTAAGGAAATATTACAATAAAATGTTTTAGTAGCTCCCATCAGCATCCTTGGCACATCATCACTTCCCATCCTAACTAGTCATAATGATTATTGCATCATTATAGTGTTATGCAAGGTACAGTAAATTTGCACTCAGTATAGCACTTTAAATCATAAAAATGTTAAAATTTACCAGATGCTGAACAATTTAAATTTAAACCTTTAAGGCAGTAAGTATTTCTGTGTTATATTTCATATTCATTGGTGAATGTGGTACCCATGGACTTCAAGGTAAAATAAATGTTGATTGCTTCTTTGTAAATGCATTGCCTGCTTTGTACAGTATATTTTTGTGGTAAGTATATTTCAGTAAAATAATTGACTACATCAAATCTTTTTAAGCACAGGTTATCATGTCTGGGCAGCTGTTTGAAATGACTAGGACACAAACATTGTTTTTCAAATAAATATCATTATGAAAAATACAATAGAATTTTATTTCCTCCAATAAAATATCCTAAAAATTGAAAATAAGGGCCCAGGACTGCAGCCCTTTGTTATGTGAATAAATTTTAGTCACACAAATAGTTCTATTGAATGGACTACTCATATGAGTAAACAATTTCAAGATCTCATCACATCTTTCTTTAGAAATGGGTTGAGTCGTTTTTACAACAGAGTTTGTAATGGTATTGAAAATAGCCAAGTAAATATACAGTTGTCCTGTAGTACAGAAAGGAAAAAAAAAAAGAGAAGAAATTCTGTCATAATTTACACCAATTCAATTGACTGCTGAGCCTTTAAAGTCAGATCAGTATATCTTGCAGGTATGTACATGGTCTTGTACATACCATGTACATACCATGTACATGGTCATGGTTTCTTTATATTGTCTAACTCAATGTGTAGCACTCTAGCCTCTGGACCAAATGATCCTGAATACAATTTCTACACGTGGAATCAGTCTGACGGCTAATACTAGCACTGGAGTGCGGGGGCAACGGTAGTATGATCATTTGGATACCATGCTGAACTGAGGCTTCTTCCACACATTCATTGTCCAAACAGATGCATAGGATTCCATTGTGCTTTTTGAATATGAATTGGGGATTACTCTCTTCCCCTGGGAAGCATTTCCTCACATAACAACAATGGATTCTAATACCTTAAGTGTTTGGGAGTGATTTCTGGGTTCATAATGGATAATATATTTGCCTGAACAGTCATTGCATTACTATTATATAACTCATTACTTCATAAAATATTTTGAGATACTCTGAATGTGAACCAAATTTAATACAATCCTATACATGCAGGTTCTTAGTACTTACAATGAGAATTTCTATGGGTTTTTTTTTATAAATTTATAATATTTTCAACTACCATTACTTGATTGTGGTTTTATAATATTTTATTTTCATAAAGTATTGGGGTGAACATATTACTTTATCTTACCTCTATATTTTCAATACATGGTAACAAACATGTATAATTAAGTCCATGAGGTCTGTCCACACACAGTTCCTCTGAGGTGCAGCTTATATTGTAGAATAAGCAGGCATCGATATCCAGTTCACATTTTTCACCTTCAAATCCTATACCATACAAAGAGAAAATTTTTAATCACAGTTTATTCACATACATTGACATTGGGGCTAGCCATGATGCTAGTAGTTAACATAACTCTAGGAGTAATTGGACCATTTTATGTTTCGAAAAGGACACTTCAAACAAAGCATGAAAGGAGAGTCTGCAAAAAATTATGCATTGTATAACGATGTATTAAGTCAAGCTGTGTGGCCACTTCTATATAAGGAAATGATTGAAAGAGAATTTAAATAGGTGAATTAAATTAAATTAAATTTTCTCATTTAATATTGGTGTTACTACAGAAGTACAATTTATTTGGAATGACTTACCCATGAGGCAGGTACACTTAAAATGGCCTATGGAATCAATGCATGTTCCTCCGTGTTTACATGGATTGGAACCACACTCATCAATTTCCATCTCACAGAACGCTCCTGGGTAAAAATCCAAAAAGATTGTTTATTTCCCCCTAAAAAATGTTAGGGATGATGAACAGATTCTTAATAAATAAAATATCAAACCGGGACAAATAGTTCACAGAATAAAATATTTAAGGTTTTAAACAGTCAAAAAAACCAGCGGAATATTGACTAGAACCTAAGGACTTAATCTTGTAAGGATCCAAGAGCCCTCACCTCCTATTGACTGGAAAAGTGATCCATGCTTTACAGAATAAGTCTCTGTGTTTGTACAGCACCTAGCTGTCTTAAGCTCTATGATCATACAAATAGTAAATAATAACAATGCTCTCCAGTCTCTCTGAAGCAGCTCTTAGGATCATTCCATTAGCTGATTAAGGCTTTATCAGCACTAAGAAGTAACAGCATTAGCAACTGCCACTTGGTAAAGCCACCTAGAGAAGAGAGAAGCACCCAAATAATGGAGTGCCAGGGTTCAGCTAACAACAGGACTGTCAGCTCTACCACGGTCAGGAAAAAGCCATAAAAGAATGTTACAATGTAAACACAGAAATTGTAACTCTGTGTAAATGGGGTTTCAAAATGCATTTTCCATATGTTATTTACCAGAAGTAAAATGAAGGGAAAACTTCATAAAAACTGGGGGGAGGGGGGGGGGAGGGAATCCACCTGATAAGCATCACTGCAAAATATGCAACATTAAACTACTTTCTGGAAACTCTAGTACTTCTCTCAGCTTTGCACCACTCTTCCTCACTCCCCCCCACCCCACCCTTTAAAATTGTGCTGCACTTTTGCATCGTCAGAAGCAGAGCAGATGATAAAAATGCAAAATCTTTGGCTTAAGTATGTGGGAAAAAAATCTAAGAATATTCTCCCACACCCAGGCAAAAGTTTCAGTCATTCAGAGGATATCAGTAACCAAAGGTGTTATTATACTCTAATCTAATTTACTGAGAAATCAGATAGCAAACACCAATGATTTTCTTAAAGTGAGTTACCAAGTTAAAAACTATTCATGCAAAAAGTTCACAAACGAAATACTACCACGAAAAAATGCTGCTCTGTACTCAAATATAGTTTATTTCTGGAGCTGATATTGCGTTAAAAAGTTGTATTTTAGTTATGGTGAAATTCAGCTCCATGCATAGGATCAACACATGTTCTAGACCCAGTTTAAAACCCAGTTAACATGGTCCTTTAGCTTTGTGCTGGCCTGCTTCATTGGGATGAATCTGATCTTTAATTAATTTAATCTTAATGATAGAGCTGTTTGAAAAATAGGGTTTTATTTAAAGGAAAATGTTAATGAAAGTGGCAGAAAATTGTCATTTTTTCCATGTAAAATTTCATCTTTAAAAAGCATGACAACTTTTATAGCCAAAAGTCCAATTTTTATTTTTAGCTTTTTGACAAACGTTGATATTCCCAGAGAAAGCAGACTTTTTGTGAAAAACAAAAATGTATACCCAAAACCTCCTTTTTTTCCATCCAACATAGTTCAGACAGGAAAACTTCTACTAGTCCTACTTAAATATTCACATTTGTATGGAAGTGTACATGCCCACTGGACCACAGGGAGTAATTTCTTTTTTATGTCTGTGTAAAATAATATTTTTCTATCATCTTCCAAATATGGACAAGTATATTTTTGTACTTGGTGTGGTAAAATTTTGTTGCAAATTTGCAAGGCTGATATAAAGGGATTGGAGGAAAACATAAATATCTGAATGACACAGATAAAACAGGAAGGCTATGCTTGATTATACTGTGAGATGTTGATTTTATTTTTTCCTTTAAGGCTTATTCTGTGAGGTAGGCAGTTATACGAAGGATAGAACAATCTACTCAAAAATGAGAGCCAGTAACCCAAAAGACATTCAGGGTCAAGTGTAAAGTTCGACAAATTCCAAATCTGAAATGATATTTATAAAGTGAAATTCATGTAACATTCATGACATTCAAAACTGAAATTAAAATAAAATAAAATAGACACAATCATTTGATTTCACTCAAAAGCAAAGCAGTAAGAAGGGGTGAAGAAAGGGAGTAAGAAGAAAAGCTCAGAAATTCAACATGTGAAAAAGAAAAGAAAAAAAATGTTCCATTTCAAACCCTGCAAAATGTAAAACAAATTTAAAAATTTGGTTTGTTTTTGTGGAATTGTTTTTTTTAAATGTTCTGATCAGCTCTTTTTTATGACTATGTTGCTCTGTAGTGCTTGCCCTTTAGAGAACATAAGTTAACAATCTGTGAAATTGGCGGGGGAGGGTGTGGTAATTATCCGAGGTTCCATTTCAGCAAAGCATTTAAGAATGTGCTTAAGTCAATCCTTCTTCAGCAAAGCACTTAAGATCATTCTTAATGGACTGTTGAGTAAAGGCCTGAAGTTTTAGCTGTTATAGACTCCTGGGAGTGTGAGGAGGAATTAACCTATTAGGGCCCTGATCACTTTTAGATAGAAAAAACATACAAGCCCAATGTATTTCACAAACACGATATTTAGCGTAGGCTATAGCCAAGGGTGAAAGTAAGTCTAGAGACTTATCGGTACGGGGCTGGGCTGGGGCCGGCTCTGGTCCCCGGAAGGGGCGGGGCCTTGGGCTGAAGGGGTGGGTCTGGGGGAGGTCAGAGCCAGCCCCGGCCCACCCTGTACTGGGAAGTGCCTCCTTCCCCCTCCCCCGGGTAACAGTGGCAGCCGGGGGCTCTGGCGGCAGTTTAAAGGGCCCTGGGTGGTAACGGCTGGAGCCCCACTGCCGGAGCCCTGGGGTAGTGGCGGTGGGGCTGGGGCGGCAATTTAAAGGGCCCGGGGCGGTAATGGCTGGAGCCCTGTCCCCTTTAAATCATCCCCGGAGCCCCGCCGCTGCTTCCCCAGGGCTCTGGCAGCAGGGTTCCGGGAATGGAGCTCCAGCCGCCACTACCGCCCCAGGCCCTTTAAATAGTCCCCGGAGCCTGCCAGAGCCCTGGGGAAGTGGTGGCAGGGCTCCGGGGATGATTTAAAGGGCCCAGAGCTCGGTCGCCGCTACCACCCGGGCCCTTTAAATTGCCGCCCCAGCCCCACCGCCACTACCCAGCCACTGCTGGGAGCTGCAGGCCCTTTAAATTGTGCCTGGGGAAACTGATCTACCCTGGTACGGCACACCGGCTCTTTCCGGTACGCAGTACCGGGGCATACCGGCTTACTTTCACCTTTGGCTATAGCTATACACACAGAGAGTACACGAAACAGTTACCAGCCTGCATCACACAAGGCAGCAAGCAGCTGGAAATGGCAAACAGGCAGACAAAAGCTGTCAAGCCACCAAAGAGTTTTCTCAGCTGCAGTACTACAATACTTGGACTTCTGTAACATCATTCATTTTAATTTATAAAATGAAAGCTATTTTGGCAAGTTCTGCTATAGCTTTCCCACTTCAAGATTTAGGATTTTGTTCTCTGGTTTTATAATAATCACATGTCACATCCCATTAGATTAAAATACATACACAAAGCCATTACTTTTCTGCCCATTTATGTCAAGAAGCTAACGGTAGTATTATTTATACTTTATCTCTTTCAAAGAAAATCAGCTCTCTGGAGAATGAAGTGAGCAGACAGTATGAAACTCGCTTTGAAACTGAAGCCAAAAGGTGAAAAGATCATTGAACCCGATTGCTTCAGAATAAGACACACAGCTGGCTAACCAACATTATGAACCTCAAAAAACCTAGACAGCGGCACATAAACTATTATTAATTCAGTTACGCTTCGCCCACGTCTCCATGTAATGTAGAACTTAGTTTCACTTTCAGCCATTTCTGTCTGTATCATATTAAGGGTTTAATTTAACTGTGAACAAAACAAGCTAGAGATGTGCTATATAGGCAATCCACTCCCACAGCCCACAAAATATTAATGAGCTGCTGAACACAGGCTGCTAGCTGTGGTGCTAACAAATGCAATTTGCTAGATGATATTCAGGTTAGCAGCCATGTGAGTAAAATCCTTCTGTGAGAGCACTTCATCTTCAGTCTTTTGAAACAAATACTAAAAGTATTCACTTTTTCTGGAAATTGATTCCTTTGATCAATGTTTTGAAGGGGAAAAAAACATTATCTTGAAAACTCCTCAGCTAGTGCGATTAATGAAAATGTGAGTGAAGACCAACAAGGTTTCCTCCCAGCAATATAGTGGAATTCTTTTGCTTCCATCAGTGCCATAATTTCCGGGTGTTCACTGTAAAGAATCCTTTATTATTTGTGTGTTATATGCACTGATGGAAGATAAATCAGTCATATAATCCTTCAGGGCAAATATTGCCCTTTTTCTGCATTTGTACAGCACCCTACATAATGGGGTCCTAATCCCAGTTGGAGCCTTTACCACAAAATATAACTCTTTACTGCTACTACTTCATTTTACAAATTGTGTAAGTAGTGATTGAGTTAAGTGGTCCACTATTCCATGTGCAGAATTTACCTCTGCGGCCACTAAACATTGTATCATTGATATGAATAATGCCTTAGCCATGGAACGGGCATCCAGTAACATTTTTTTAAAAAAACTTTTTTGAGGGGAATTACACCTGTGTACACTAATCCATATTTGACCAAGACCACAGCTTGAAATAGGTTCTGATGGGTATTAAATTCTTTTAAAAACAATGCTATTTTTATGAAAAGTTTTTGATGGTCCCCAGTAGTCAGGATTTCTTTTTCAGATGCAATCCAAAATTCTCCATATCACTGTATGGAGGCATTGCTTCATCACTGATTTGAAGAGAAGAAATCTACTGAATCACCAAGATCACTTCCTAAATTACCTGAAATTTTTTAGAGGTCTCCCATTCAAAGATCAATCAACCCAACCTTGCTTAACCTGCAAGGTTTAACAATCCAATAAATAAACTAAAACTAAATGAACTCTTAATGATCAAAAAGAAAAGGAGGACTTGTGGCACCTTAGAGACTAACAAATTTATTTGAGCATAATCTTTTGTGAGCTACAGCTCACTTCATTGGATGCATTCAGTGGAA